TCTCTTGGCTGTAGAGTTTTTGCTTCTGTTGCCAGCTTACTGTTGACAAGAGCCCTTATTATCTGTGGTTCCCCATTTATTAGATAGACTCAGCATAGCACATTGAGATCCGCAAGGCTTTTTCCAACCCCCCCAACTTCTTCCTTGTGTGCTTTTCAATCCTTTCTACAGCCCTGGAAGCTCCAGGCAAATTCGGTGCCCAAACAAAGTTAGGTCTTAACGCCGAGCAGACATCTCTGGGGGAGATTTTTGTGACTGGTGCTTTCTACATATCCTCCCCCACCACTATTCAAATAACTCCATATGGATATAAAGTGGGATCAGGGTTTTACAAGCAGAATTTTGGAACACAGACATTGATTTTTATTTGTATTTGTGGGTTTTTTTGTTTTTGCTTTTAGATATGTTCCTAGTTGGCCTGGAACTTGTTATATAGATCAGGCTGGCCTCGAACTCACAGAGATCCATTTGCCTCTGCCCACAAAGTGCTAGGATTAAGATGTGTGCCACCACACCCAGCAGACATTGATTTTTAAAATGTTCCCCTCTGATGAGGCATAGCTCTGTGGCAGAGTGCATGCTGGGCATATGTGAGGTCTGGAGTCCCATCTCCAGCAGTTTGTTTGTTTCTTTTAGAAGTCTAAACAGGAATGCACATAAGTTTTAGGGATGTTTTTCATGAAAATTTTCTCTACTTTACTAATTTTCAGTTGAAAACCATGAAAAATAATTTCCAAACCAGAGACTTCTAGTAGAAACATTCAAATTAAAAATGAAATATTTAAATTCATTTATTGGCTGTAATAATTTTTTTAAAATGTTGTTTTGGATGGCAAGATTTCTGGCTCAGCAGGTAGAGTGTTTGCCAGGTAACTGTGAGGACTAGAGTTTGGATCCTTAGAGCCCAGGTAAAAGAAGGGTGGGCATGGCAGCCCACCTGTAATCCCAGTGCACAGAGGTGGAGACAGGATTCTCAGAGCAAGCTGGCCAGCCAGACTAGCCAAAAGAGCAAGCTCAGGGTGAGAGGGACCCTGCCTCCGTGTATAGGGTAAAGAACAATCGAGGAAGACACCTGGCATCAACCTCAGGCCTCCACAAGTTCAGCATAGACTTGCTCATGCACCCCCCCCCAGGTGCTCCCACACACATGCAAACACCTACCACACACACCCATACCTGTGTACAAAAAATTAATCCCCTATCTTGAGCAGACATTGTCTTGCTGGAGAAACTTTCATTCTTTATAACTGGCATTTCTCTTAATATCAAATTATTATAAGCAAAAAGGCCAAAAATAGCTTCCTAGACCAGAGCTTCCTAGCTCTGACATTGTAAATCATAGGAGGTAGCCTCAAGGTGTGCTGGGCCTTCTGGAACCTTCTGGAAACCTGAGAGGGAGAGCAGGATGAAGGTCTCTAAGCCACCATAGGCTTTACCTCAGTCTTAAAAGCTGATGTAGAGGCCCAGGGAAGTGTTAGGAGCCAGTTGTTTGCAGGGCAGAGTTTCCACACACTAACCTGTCAACATCCTCCCATGCAGGTCTGTGGGCAGGAATCATCATCTGCTCCTTCTCTCAGGCTGTGTGCTTCCTCGCTTTTATCTTGAGACTCAATTGGAAACAGGCCTGCCAACAGGTAACTGCTGACTGTCCCCTGCCGTGTCTTAGAAATGAAATCAGATCTGATGCAATGTGCATCCTTTGACTTTGGAAGGCTGTTTTCTTATGTTGTTTTTATGCTTTTGGTTGTGTTGCTTTGGTTTGTTTTGTTTTAGCTGGATTTTCAGGTGTGAAGGGCCACATGACTCCAGCTCTGTCCATTCTGCTTTTTTTATTCATTGAATAGAAAAATGCAGGATGCCATTTCTTGAGAAATGGCTTTTGAGACTGAAAAGCCAATTTCAGGATAAGAGTTGGAACTGGAGAGAATTTCTCCAAATTCATCCTAATAATTTTTTTTTTGTTGTTTTGGTCTTTTTGAGACAGGGTCTCCCTGTAGCCCCAGCTGGCCTGGAACTCACTATGTAGACCAGACTGGCCTTACTCACAGAGATCCACTGGGACTAAAGGCGTGTGCCACCACACCCTGCCAATTTTTTAAAAAACAAAACAAAACAAAATATTTGTCTAAGATGATGTGTGCTTCCTTGTCTTCATCCTCCCAGGGTCAGTGTAAGGTCTGGAAATAGGAGACAGCAAAAGGAACTCAAGTAAGAAGATGAAGGCCGAGTTCTTAGTGATCTTGGTCCATCTTCACCCTCACACTGGTCTGCTTCTCCTCTGCTCTCGGGAACCCGTTTCAGAGGGTTCTGTAATGACCTAGAGAGAGTACGTGGAAAAGGATTCCACAGTGATCTAAAGAAGCTCTGATTTTGTATGCTTGTTAAGGGGCATGGCTGTTCCTAGACTGGGTGGCCATACAAAACCTTAGCCACACTACCTCTGACGTCTGGACTTACTTTGAGTTTCACCTTCTAGGCTCAAGTACATGCCAATTTGAAGGTAAACGTGGCACTGAATGGAAATCCTGCTGCTTCTCAGGAGCCAGTTCACCCAGGTGTGCTCCAACTCTCTCAGCTCCGGGACAGGCATGGCTATGTAAGACAGGAGGGGCCATTTGTGGGGCACAGTTAAATTGGCTGCTGTGAGCTCTCATTGAAATAGGGCACTAATGTTTCAGAAACAAATGATAAAGTCAGGTCCCTGCCACTTTGAGATAACCTGACTTAAAGTATGCTTGCTTCATTTCCACACATTAATGTACGGTTTCAATAATTAAAAGCTTCCCGGACTGTCTCCTAATCTGTGGTACTTCTGCAAGCATTCTAAAGTATTTTATTTCGTTTTTTAAGTGTAAATTTTTTGATTCACATTTAATAATTGTGTTTATTTACAGGGCACCGTGTGATATCTCAAGCACATGTACAAAAACATGTAGCTAGAGTAAGAACACGGGCAGGCGCATCACCTCGCACATGTCTCTTTTCTGTGTGTGTTGCACTTCCAACACTTCTTGCACTTGGTAGCCCTGTGCAAGGAAGGAAGATCTTGGAAGCTGGCATTTGCATGTTTGTTCTAATGGGGTCCCTGGCATTCATTAGGCACCAGGAAAGCTGGGTGTTGTCTGACCTTTACTTCTGGTGAATATTATACAAATAAATTATGTTGGGTTGATTTTCTGCCAATTTAGTAATTCTTCCAAATTCCCATTTCTTTGAGCAGTTAGTTACAGTAATCTTTTGCTCCTGTGAGAGAGGTAAACTGGCTTCCTTCTATCCATCTGCAGTCTATGGCTAGGCTATGAATTAAACTGGCTCAAGACAGATAAACAGGAGAAAAACAGTACTTAGTTACATCTGTAGGCATGGGAGTCCCACAAGACATGAGACTTGAAGAAGGAACAGATGATTGATGTTTACAGAAGCATCTAGAACTACAGAATCTCATGTCTTGTCTGACCTTTACTTCTGGTGAATATTATACAAATAAATTATGTTGGGTTGATTTTCTGCCAATTTAGTAATTCTTCCAAATTCCCAGTTCTTTGAGCAGTTAGTTACAGTAATCTTTTGCTCCTGTGAGAGAGGTAAAGTGGCTTCCTTCTATCCATCTGCAGTCTATGGCTAGGCTATGAATTAAACTGGCTCAAGACAGATAAACAGGAGAAAAACAGTACTTAGTTACATCTGTAGGCATGGGAGTCCCACAAGACATGAGATTGAAGAAGGAACAGATGATTGATGCTTACAGAAGCATCTAGAACTACAGAAGGGAATAGCAGTGTGGGTCTCCTGAGGGTTGTGGCTGTAGTAGTTATAGGAGGAGAAGGGAGGAAATGGTGGTCTCGTTACAAAAAAATCTCTCTGGTATTAGTTATCAGGAGTGGCCACTTCCTGAACCAAATGCTTTTTCTAATGTAGACTTTCTTTGTAGGGTATAAATGTCCTTTACAAAAAGGTGGCTTTTCAGAGCTCCCACTCTGTCAGGAGTTTCTTAGAATAAGTATCTTAAAAATGCCCAAGAATACTGTATTTGGATGGCATATTCTGGTATCCTGCAGTCACATTTGGGCCCACATGTCCTGGGCCCCAACACTCCCCTTACAATGTAACCCTTTGGGTTTCCTAGAAAACTGAATGGCTGCCAGTGGCCAATTCTGTTCTCTATTTTCGCTCCTGTGCATCTGTATCTTTGAACATTGTTTAAGAACTCACTTGAAGTTGGACCCAACTTGAAGTTGGACTCTCTATGGCTCTTGTTTGACACTGACCAGGCACAGCAAACAATCAATCTAGGGCAATTTCAGAGGTTGCACTTCCGGGACCACTTCATTGATCTGAAGGTATAAAGCTGCTAGTGTGAGGCTGGCCTATTTCTGGAGCATTTTAAAATCCTGTATGCAGCCCTACAGGGCTTCAAAGCCAGGCACAGGGCATTTTACGTTGGCCCACTCTTACCAGGTGCTGCTCAGCCTCTGAAGAACATGTCCCATATACAGAACTGTCAGAGCAAAAGCAGCCACAGAGGCTGGGCTCACCCTCCAGCCTTTCAGCTTCCTCAGGATTTTGCATTGGGAACTCTTCATGCCATTAGTTCTCTGATACCTTCAAGATGATCTTTTTAATTTTTTTTTATCCAGGCTCTTACAGTTTTCTTGAGAGGAAGGGCTAGTTTGTAAAATTTGAATATAGATACTTGTGTCACCTTGCTGTTGTGAGGATTGAGTGTTAAGAACTGCCTGACACAGGCTAAGCATCTTGTAGATGTGAACTTATAGTTTAATTTTTTAAAGTTTGTTTTTGTTTCTTTGAGACATGACCTAATGTAGCCCAGGCTGGCCTTGAATTAGCACTGTAGCTGAGGATGACCTTGACATTCTGATCTTGCTTCTACCTCCCAGGTGCTGGGATTATAAGTGTGTGCCACCACCCCCAGCTGAATCAGTATTGTTATGGCCCAACTTATTTTGGCAGAACTCTGAGGGCATTGTAACAATCTCACTACAGGCTGAGCACCCTAATCTGAAATATTCTGATGTTCACAACATGGGACTATGAAATACTTCTGATTCCAAGATTTCAGATAAGGCATATTCAACCACTCATGCATTTTCTTATGCCTTTTCAGAAGGCCAGTACCAACCTTATTCCTGCACTGATAGGTAGTCTGCCTTTATTTTTCTCTTGGAAAGTTTTTAGGGTATTTTCCTGTTATCATTATTGTTATTCCAAAATGCCATAAGACTTGAGTCATGTGAGTCTTTATTTTGCTTGGTATTTAGTAGATCCTTGGATTAAAGAATCTCATCTTCAGTTCTGTGCATGCCTTAAATACTTCTTAGTTTATTTCCCCCTCCATTTGCTTTGTTTTCTTTCTAAAATGCTTTTCTTAAAAAATGTTTTATTATTTTTATGTGTATGAGTGTATTGCCTGCATGTATGTGAGCGCACCCATGTCCTGCAGTGCCGCAGAGGTCAGAAGAGGGCATTGGATTCCCCTGGAACTGGAGTTAAGGATGGTTTGTAGCTGCCATGTGGGTGCTGGGAATAGAATCCAGGTCCTCTGCAAGAGCAGTCAGTGCTCTCAACCGCTGAGCCATCTCTCCAGCCCCCTAAAATGTTTTTTGGATGAGTTTTGACCACTTAAAAAGTTCCCTTATGAATCTTACTGTAGAAATCTCCCCAGAGACCCATACTGACAAGAGTAGTTTATGGCGGGAATAGAGGCACTCAGAGATACTGGCCAAAGACCTGGGGCTGTTAGGGTCAGAAGTCTGGGCTCCAACAGTCCTAATAACCTAGGCTCAGTCACCTGTCATCAGTCAACCAATTAAACAGACAAGTAATAGTGAGAAGCAGAGAAAAGAGACTTATTCAATGTGGCCACATTGCAAAGAGGAACTAATAGAGGTCCAGTGTCTCCTTTCCTCCAAAGTCCATCTTCATGATCCTAATAGTAGTTTTAGGTTTAAACAGAGGACAAAGGTGTATGTAGTTATGCAATCCTGGACAGTATGTTCCTGCTCATCACTGATCCCCCCTCCCCATTTTCTCCACTCCAGTCTTTCCTGAAAGATTGTCAGATTTGTGTGCATTCTCTTTCTAGGAGACAAGTTCTCCCTCTGGCTGGCACCAGGATTCAGCCTTTTCCTTTTCTCAGCATGAGATCTCTGGAGAAATTCCAGTTAGAAATGGGTCTGGGGTCCCAAGAAAATAACCCCATAATCCAAAGCATTTCAGCAAGGCAAAAAGTTTGACTTTTGCAGAAGGGTGTTGAAACAGTTCTTACCTCAAAGAATAAAGAGATGATTTATTCTAGTGCCAGATATGAGTTCCTGGCCCAGGAACACAGATTTAGGTTTCCCAAAATACCATGTTCCAATTAACTAGCAATTTCATGAATTGTTTATAGTAACAGAAGAAAGTCATAAATCAACATACTTTCAAATATATTGATGGGTACATTCAGTAGGCAAGTCATATCAAAGTGGGAAGAATTCTGCTATAGGCTTCAGATGCTATCTGATACATTCTTAACCTTTTAGTTGGTGGAGGCTAGTGCTTTATTAAGTTAATACATTTCAAAAGGTTTTTTGTTTTTGTTTTTGTTTTTTAATCTGTTAGTCACAGGTTGTTAAGTCAGAAACAGAGATGGGCAAGGAGTGGCTATTTAGGGACTAAAGATGTCCCAAAATAAATTATAAATAAGGTCTGGATTAGCAACATTCCAAACTGAGTCATTGATGTGCTAACCAATTGATCAGACTTACAGGAAGTTCAATCCAAGATGCAAGTTTTTTCTGGGAACTTTTTATTCATAAGGGTGTCAAGCTACTCTGAGTTCAGCAAGCACACCTTGTTAAAATGGCCTCTCCTTTTTATACCTAACAACAGAGAGCTTAGCTGTCCCTCATTAGTCAAGGTTCAACCATACAAACCTAAAATAAACCCCATCTAATTTAAAGGAAAAGGAGGCATTTTAGTAAGAATCTTTAAATTTTAGAAACATGGGTTTTCAGCATGTAGTCAGAGTCATAAAAGTGTGTGTGGGGTGTGCGGGTGAAAATACAAACTTTAATACTACAAGTTACAATTGACATACTAAGAAGCAAATAATATTGGGGGGGCTGGAGAGATGGTTCAGTGGTTAAGAGCACTGGCTGCTCTTGTAGAGGACCCGGGTTTGGTTCCCAGCACCCACATGGCAACTAACAACCATCCATAACTCCAGTTCCAGAGGATCTGACACCCTCTTCTTACCTCTGAGGGCACTGCACAACATGGGTGCATTTACATACATGCAAGCAATACATAAATTAATAAAAAATTTAAAAAGAAGTAAATAATATCAAGGTAGATACTAGTTCTATAACAAGGCTACTGAAAAGAAAAACAAGAATACTGTTTTAAATTTTTTTGACAGAAAGAATTTCATTTCTTACATTCATTTTTATACCTTAGCAAAAAATGGAGCAGGTATCAGCAAAAGGTACCAATTGAGAGCAGGATGTGACTTTGAATACCATATCCATTTTGACCTTAGACAAATGTGAGCCTGTGTTTCAGTTTAGGATTCACAGTCTCTGAGAGCCCACAGGCCCCCTGCTGGGAAGAGCAAACTGGAGATAAAGAAAATGCAGATTGTGGTTGACTCTTGAGTCTCTTACATGGTAACCATAAAACTCCCTTTGAAAGACAAGGCAGTCCAGTACATTTCATTTCTCTTCCTCACAATTCCACTTTCTTGGGATGGGCTGTTCCTTCTCTCAAGTATAAAGTCAATAGGTATGCTCTCAGGAGATAAGCATGCACTGCGAATAACTCCACAGCAGTACAAAACTGCCACCTGTCACAATCAACAAAAACCAGGAATCAGATCTTTAAATTGTGCTTCATTCAGAGAGCTGGCAATCTGGAAACTCTGAGAGAAAGCCGCCTGCCTTCCCCTTCTCTCATAAGCATATTTATGGACAGCTGGAAGAAAGGCAGAAGTCATTCCAGAGTTTAGTCTTGTCCCCCCACCAGGTGCTTGGCTTTGTCTCTGACTTTTCTCAGCCAGTCCTAGTCTGAACCACATACACAAACAACTTGAAGGAACATTAACAGTCCTTTAAAGGGACAGCAGCACCAGCCCTTACAGCGAGATAGGACCTTGCCCTTAAAGTTCTGGTCTGACAGCTAACAACAATTTCATTATTCATTGTAGTAACTATTTCTTGACTTAACTTTTCCTAACAATTATAACAAATATGTGCCACCATTTATACAGATGAAAACAAATCTTTTCAAGTTGCTAATGAAGATCTTTTGCCCCCACCCCCACAGTGGGTCCTGAAAACCATGGAGAAATTTTGATGAGCAATCTTGAAAAAAAAGATGAGACTCACTTGGACCAGCAGATGCAACAGCAACAACAGCAACAACCTGAGCCTGTCCATCCAAAGGATAGCAGCAAATTGTCTGGGAAACAGTTGGTGCTGCGACGAGGACTCCTGCTCCTGGGAGTTGTTTTAGCCTTGGTGGTGGGAATTTTAGTTAAAGTCTATGTCAGAACTGAGTGATGTGGAAGAGTCAGATCAAACGATACAGACACTCCTTGATTTCAGGGACAACTCCTGACAAATCCATCCCAAGTTGAAAATAACCATGTCAGGGTTGGGAGTGTAGCTCAGTGGTAGATCACATGCTTAGCATGTTCAGGGCTATCTAACAAGCACACACACACACACACACACACACACACACACGAGAAAGAGAAGAGAAATACAGAGCATGTGTGAATGGACAAATGCATGTAATAAAATTAACCTACCAAATACCAGTGTTAGCAACACTGTACCCTATAGAATGTTAACTGTTCATCCCTGGGATTGTGGGGCTACCTGGGGGCTGTGACTTGCTGCCACTACCCTGCATCTCCAAAGGATGAGATGACACATTGCTAGCCTGGGAAAAGTTCGCAGTTCAAAATAGTTCCTCCTGAATGCATGTCACTTTTGCACCATTGTAAAGTTGAGTCCTTGGAAATTGAGCCACTGTAAATGGGGGACCATCTGTGACTTTGAAGTTACAGTTTATAGGCCTGGCAGTGGCTAGTCTTTT